AGAACATCTTATATTCCTTATAGCCAGTTTCTGAATAAAAATGTGATAGAAAATACTATCACCTTCTTCTCATCAGAAATAATGCATGCTGGAAGATAATAACATTTAATGTTATGAATGAGAGAAACATTCTCAACCTTATTCTATAACTAGCCAAATCATATTTTTAAATGAAGGTAAAATGGAGACATTTTCAAATAAACACAAGCTGAGAAAATGTATCATGACACCTACACTATGAAAATTGTCAATGAAAATTCTTCAGAGTGATGAAAATAGTACAGCTGATTCAATTTTGGTTCAATACATTAAGAGCTCTAGAATAGAAATATGTGCCTAAACATAAGAAATCTTTCTTCATTTTAAAATTTCTTTGAAAGAGTGTTGGCTGTTTATATACAGCAAAAGTAGAGATGATATAATTTAAGATTTCTAAGATATATAGAAGTAAAATATATCAAAACAATACTTGAGGCTTGAGAGAGTGCTCTGTAGTTAAGAGTACTTGTTCCTATAGAGAACCAAGGTTCAATTCCCAGAACCCAGATAATATCTTACAACTGTCTGTAACTCCAGTTCTAAGGGGACTCTGACACCCTCTTCTGGTTTCCATGGGCACTGTAAACACACAGAGCACAGACATACATGCAAGCAAATGTTCGTACACATAAAATAAAAATAAGTCTCTAAAAATACCACAAAGAGCCGGGCGGTGGTGGCGCACGCCTTTAATCCCAGCACTCGGGAGGCAGAGCCAGGCGGATCTCTGTGAGTTCGAGGCCAGCCTGGGCTACCAAGTGAGCTCCAGGAAAGGCGCAAAGCTACACAGAGAAACCCTGTCTCAAAAACCAAAAAAAAAAAAAAAAAAAATCACAAAGAAATACAGGTAAATTGAAGTGTAGTCTTGCTGTAAGGTATCTTTCTGTATGCTGTGAATATGTGTGGCTCCCATTGGATAATAAATAAAGCTGTTTTGGCCTATGGCAAGAAAGTTTACAGTCAGGTGGGAAATACAGAGATACAGAGAGAAGGGCAGAGTCAAGGGAGACACCAGCCCGTGCTGCCAAAGGAGCAACGAGATGCCAGCAGACCGGTAACGCCACGGCCACATGGCAACATATAGATTAATAGGAATGGGTTAATTTATGATGAAAGAGCTAGCTAGAAAGAAGCTGAATCCATAAGCCATACAGTTTGTAATTAATATAAGCCTCTGAGTGACTATTTTATAAGCATCTGTGGGACCTTGGGGCTGGGCAGGATCAAGAAACTTCCAGCTACATAGTCTTCTGAGATTTTATTTATTTATTTATTTATTGGAAATAAAAGCCATACGCTCTGGCTCTTACACTCTTTCTGTCTGCTATTATACAGTGTCCCCTGAGCTGTCAGGGAAGGAATTTGAGTGTTCCAAGATCTCTCACTCTCTGTGTAATATCTAGCTATGGGTCTCTATATTTATTCTCATCTGCTACAAGAGGAAGCTTCTCTGATGATGGTTGAGCAAGACAGTGATCTATGAGAATAGCAGAAGTCATTTGTTGCTACATTCTTTTAGTCAAACAGTAATATTTGGTTTCACCCTGGCTCCCTGGGCTATCTAGTCTCAGGTTCTTGGTCACACAGTGTCAGGTCCCATCTCATGGAGTGGGCCTTAAATCAAGTCATATATTGGTTGATCAATCCCACAAGCTTTGTGCCACCATCGCACTAGCATATCTAGCAGGCAAGACACCATTGTAGATCAAATGGTTTGTGACTGAGTTGGTGTTTATGTTTCTACTTTGGTAGGGTGCAGAGTACCTTCCTGTACCAAAGATACTAGCACATAGGAGTGAAGGTTGTAGTTAGGCACCAGCTCAACTTCTCTATGTTCAAGAATTGTGTAAGTGTTATCTTTAGCAACTGAGCCATACTATCAGTTTGTGGAGATCAACCTATAGTTTTGGCAATAGCCTGGATTGCTTGGGGATTCCCATGGGACACCTTTGGCCAATAACTCAATTAGATGTAATCTGCTCCCAGTACTGGAAACTTCATTTAGTGACAAGAGATGTCCAGCTGGGGCTTTGTCTCCCCCATTATTTGGCAATTTCCTTTACATTGCCTTCATATATGTAAACATTTTAGGAAGCTTGGACTGTATTAGGTTTCTATACCACCCCTCAAATGGCCCTTAATTTTAACTATCTCTTCCCATATTTCCCCTCCCTTATACCATTCCCACACCCACTTAATCCTCCTGTTTTAGCCATTCCTTCAATCCATCCATAACTATCTATTCTATTTTCCTTTCCTAAGCAGAACTTCTGTCCCTCCTAGTCCCTTAATCTATACCAAACCTCTGTGGTTCAATGGATTGTAGCTTGGTTATCATCAACTTAATAGCCAATATCCACATGTAAGTGAATACATACCATAATTGTCTTTCTGTGTCTGGGATATCTTGCTCAGGATGATTTCTTTCTATTTCTATCCAATTATATTCAAAATTCATTATTTTATTTTTAATAGTTGAGTAACATTCCATTGTGTAGATGAACCATATTTTCTTTATCCATTCTTCTGCTAAAGGACATCTAGGCTGTTTCCAATTTCTGAGTCTTATAAGATAGAGCAGCGATGAACATGGTTGAGCAAGTGTCTCTGTGGTAAGAAGAAGCATCATTTGGACATATGCCCAAGAGCTGGATCTTGAGGTAGATTGATTCCCATATTCCTGAGGAACTGCCACACTGATTTCTATGGTGAATGTACAAGTTTGCACTACCACCAGCAATGTAAGAGTGTTCCTCTTACTCTGCATCCTTGTCACCATGAGCTGTCATTTGTTTTATTGATTTTAGCCATTCTGACCAGTGTAAAATGAAATCTCAAAGTACTTTTAATTTGCATGTCAATGATGACTAAGGACATTAACATTTCCTTAAGTGTTTCTTGACCATTTGAGTTTCTTATTTTGAGAAATTGTAGTTGATATATTGTGCACCCAAATAAACTTATCTGAGGGTCAGAGAACAGAAAAGCCACTATATTAAACACAGAAGTTAGGCAGTGGTAGCACATACCTTTAACTCTAGCATTCCAAAGGCAGAGATCCATCCAGATCTCTGTGAGTTCAAAGCCACACTGAAAAAGCCATGCATGGTGACACATGCCTTTAATCCCAGGAAGTGACAGCAGGAAACAGAAAGGTATATAAGACATGAGGCCCAGGAACTAGAGCCTTTTTTAAGCTCTTAGCTTTTAGCTGCAGTTCAGCTGAGATCCATTTGGATGAGGATTCAGAGGCTTTCAGTCTGAGGAAACAAGATTAGCTGAGGAATTGGCAAAGTGAGGTGGCTGTGACTTGTTCTGTTACTCTGATCTTTCAGCATTCACCCCAATACCTGGCTTCAAGTTTGTTTTTATTAATAAGACCTTTTAGAAATTTGTGTTACAAGAAATCTCTGTTTATATCTGTACCCCATTTTTAATTGAGTTATTTGTTTTCTTGATATCTAGTTTTTTGAGTTCTTTATATATTTTTGATATTAGTCCTCTATCAGATGTGGAGTTGGTAAATATCTTTTCCCATTCTGCAATCTGTTGCTTTGTCCCATTGACAGTGTCCTTTGTCTTCCAGAAGTTTTTCAGTTTCTTAAGGTCCCATTTATTAACTGTCCATCTGAGTGCCTACACTAATAGTGTCCTGTTCAGAAAGTCACCACTGTGGCAATGCATTCAAGGTTGTTCCCCACTCTCTTTTCTATCAACTGCAGTGTATCTGATCTTTGATCCATATGAAGTTGAGCCCTGTGCAGAGTGATAAGTATGGATCTAGTTGGATTCTTCTACATACAGTCATCCAGTTTAACCAGCACCATTTTTTGAAGAGGTTGTCTTTTTACCAGTGTGTATTTTGGGCTTCTTTATTTAAAAAGAAAAAAGACAGGCATCCATAGGCGTATGGATTTATGTCTGGGTCTTTGATTTCATTGGTTAATAAGTCTGTTCTTATACCAATACGATACTGTTTTTATTACTGCAGCTCTGTAGTACAATATGAAGTTAGAGATGGTGATAACTTCAGCAGTACTTTAATTATTTAGGATTGGTTTTTTTTTGTTTTTTGTTTTTTGGGTTTTTTGGGGGGTTTTTGGGGGGGGGTTGGGTTTTTTTGGGGGGGATTGGTTTTTTTTTGTTTTTTTTGTTTGTTTGTTTTTTGGTTTTACGAGACAGAGTTTCTCTGTGTAGCTTTGCGCCTTTCCTGGAACTCGCTTTGTAAACCAGGCTGCCCTCGAACTCACAGAGATCTGCCTGCCTCTGCCTCCCAAGTGCTGGGATTAAAGGCATGTGCCACTACCGCCCAGCTTATTTATGATTGTTTTAACTAACTTGGGTTTGTGTATGTCTGTGTGTGTGTGTGTATGTATGTACGTGTGTGTGTGTGTGTGTGTGTGTGTGTGTGTGTGTGTGTGTGTGTATTTCCATACGAAGCTGAAAATTGTCCTATCAAGATTTGTGAAGAATTGTGTTGGAATTTTTATAGGGATTGCACTGATATTGTATAGTTATACACTTATGTTTCTATATATCCGTGGGTATAGATACATACACATGTTCAGAGACAGGGTCTATATGTGTCACTATATTGGCATATGGCACAAGAAAGATTGTGAATTCTTGATTACAATGAAGTATACAACAAATCTTCCAGATTTATAATTTGTAAATAAAAATCTTTTAAGATATTTTAACATAAAGGGTCAAATAATGGAATTCCCTTTTTATCTTTAAACTCTATAAGATTGCTCTCTGACAAAGATAAAATGAGTTCCAACTGATAAACGTTGCTGCCAGCACAACTGTAGCCCAGCCCCAGTGACAGAAGCCCGTGAAACCCAAGGTGCACTTTAATGATGAGCCCTGCTCATTCTCTTCACTTGACCCAAGAAACCACTGGAAATGGCCCAAAGACCCACTGAGGGATATGGACAGGAATTTCCCAGAAGTAAATCCAATTCAGCTCGTACTTTGGAACGATTGATCAGCTCTGACACTTGCACAATCTACTAACAAAGGTCATGCAGCACCTGAACACCATCATGGCAGAATCACCGGGCCTCATCACTGTCTTCCTTTTGGGATATCTACTCAGTGCTGAATGTGCAGGTTTGTTTCCTTTTCAAAGCTACATTGAATATGCTTCTCTTTTAGATACAAAAAAATTAGAACCACAATTTTCAACTAAACCAAGATTCCATGACTTTACGCTATAGTTTAGATTCCAGCAGGCAGCATGTCAGCTGGCAAATACGGGCTCTCTGGAAACTTCACCTTCTTCATTTTAAACAAGACCTGGAGCTTGTGATGCATTTCTATTTAATAGATAGTTATTCTTATGACTTAACAATGTAATTCCTCTTAAAATTTCTGTGTCCTTGGTTTAAAAAATGAAAGTGGGAAAATGTCTTAACAAAGAAATTGTAGAATAACCAGGAAAACATGTTAGTTTGTGATTTTAGACTCACCACCTTGAAATCAAAAGGGGAAACATCTAAATGACAGTGGTCTTATTTACCTAAAAAGTATTTATTGAATCTACATGTGTTTCAGCGTTTTAGAACTAGATGGTAAGGCATAGTTATAATGTATAAAATTATATATTTACAATTTAATTTCTCAGTTAAAATTGGAAGATTAACCTTTCTATATTAAGTGATCTGTCATGAAAGCTTCTACACAGATGAGAATAAATCAGCTCATCTGTGAGTCCACATGTTTCAGAACTGTTGTTTAGAGACCCCTAGTACTTACTCATAGACCTCTCTAGGGACAATACAAGTATAAAAACGGCTAGATAGAGTAGAAACTTAGTCCATGCAAAGTATAACATATTGGGTTTCTGTTTGGTTTCCTTTTTGCAACAACAGTGACTTTACTCCCCAGGGAAAGGCACACAGAGAAAAACTTACTACATTTAGACAAACAGCCTGCTCCCTCAAGATGCATTTATCACACTTACTTGTCAACCTACTAAAATCATCTCTAGCAGCTGACAGTGCCAGGATCAGGGGTGCCAACCCTGAACATCCCCAGAAAACAGGCTGGTCTTCTGGTTCCCACTCCAGACATGATGTCAACTGTGGAATCAGACTGAAAGCCTGAAGCGATGACATGAAAACGGAAAGGTTAAACTGCTCTTGCAAAGTGGGCAGACTAAGAGATGAAAAATACATGTTGGAAAAACTCATTATGTGGATCATAAAGTCAGGTCATTCAACATACTGTACCAGATTGACCTATGTGAGGACAAATGATCCAAACAATTTCTTATAAATTAGTAGTAAGGGGATGGTGTGTGTCAGAGGACTGATGCCCATCAGAAGACCTTGGATGATGGAAAAATAATAAAAGAATCAAGATTTCAGATGTGGGGCAATAATGACTGGAGATAATCCTAAAGAAATGTTAAATAGATGATCCTCAAACAATAGTGAGGAGAAAAGCAACAAGATTTTAGAGTCACTGTGGTCGGGGAGCCAAGGAATTGTCCCTGGGGTGGACAGTATTCATGTCTTCTGTTAAATTGTCGTGGTCTTCAAAAAGGAGACGCTGCATGTTCATAACTAGTGCCTTAGTGTGCCAATTTAGAATTGGAAATCAAAATCAGTCTGTGAAACAAATTTGGTTTTACAAAGTATACAGATCAAAACTGTCTTTTATGCATTCAGATATTAGTGCATTGCTGTTATGGTGCCTGGTACCGTGACTCTCTTGCTCCTCAAGGCTTGCTCAGCCTGCTTTCTTACACAACCCAGGGCTGCCAGCACAGGGGTGGCACAGCCCACAGTGAGTCTGACCTTCTCCCATCAATCATCAATCAATGAAGTGCACCACAGGCCAATTTTATGGCGGCATATTTTCAAAAGAGATTCCCTCTTCAAAGTGACTCGAGGTTGTGTCAAGTTGATATAAAAGCTAGCCAGAACACAGATATCCACCCATCCACACACCCTACACACATGTGTGTGTAATATATATATATATATATATATAATCATATGTATAGAGAGAGCAGTAAAACTAATCACTAATATGAGCATTTTATGTAGATAGTAACCCTCACACAGAAAGAGCCACATCCACAATAATGTAAGTATTCCAGAGGCTCTGTCTGGTTTGAATATTGGCTGTTAGAAATGAGGCAAGAAAATGGGGTGGGCCAGATCATCTAATAATTTTTAAAAGGCCCTAAGCTAAGGAAATTGAACAGTAGAGAGCAATGTGGAGGTGTAACAAGTGTGCGTGTAAAAATCACACCCTTCACTATGTTCTAGTGCTCAGTCTGGTAACACTCTAAGGAACTAATGAGACTCCAGGCTAGCCAGTCCAACCTTAAGTCTCTTGCAATCATCCAAAGGAAACAAATGTTCAGAACCTAGACAGTAGTCATAGAGAGAAGATGGACAATTGAAGTGATAATTATGAAATAGAGGTGAAGTGATTCAATAGCCACATGTATATGAAAGGTTTAAGAGACAAAAATAGAGTGTCTGAAGGGTTGAGTATAGTGTGATGATACCAACAAAGCACAGGCTCTGTAGGCAGACTTCTGACTCAAAATCCAGGCTGATCCTCTACTATGTGACAAGGAGGAATCAGGAAATACATGAAGTCAAAATGATGCTTTCCAAGATTACTACCAATAATGGCAATGGTAATTTCCTTGCACAGAGTGCAGGAAGGAAGTAAAGGCACTACAAAGCACATAGAAGAATTGGAGAAGGGAGAAAGCTCAGAGGCAAAAACAAACAAAAAAAACAGATAGCCTCAGAAGCTTGGGGGGAAAGTGAGTAACCAGGAATACGCTGGCTTATAATTTATCTCAGAGATCCTGTCAACATGATGATGAGGTACACATTCTTACACTGCTGCTACACCCATTTTACATTTGGGAAAGTTAAGATCCAGACATTGTATGACTTGTCTATGTCCACACAGTCAAAAAGAGTCAGATACATGATTCAAATCCTGTCCAGTCTGATTACAAAGCTTGCTTTTTCATTCCTCCACACTATAAATCAATACCATCATAGATGTTCTTCTATAAGAGTGACTTGAACCAAGCAAATGAATTGCTGTGGGAACTGAGATATAAATACACAAAGGTACCCATAGGCAGCTTGGTGGAACACACACCTGCCTCACATCGAGACTGCCTGGCAAGCAAAGCACTAACAAGGAGTGGAATGAATTGGGAAAGTTGGAAGAATTACAGGAAGATAAAGTAAATTCAGGGATTGAGAAAATATTCCCAAAGGGATTCAGAGAGCCAGGATGTCAGTGGTCAAAAATTTTCCATAAAGGATATAGCTACCACAAAATAAGGTAATAAAATTAAGTTCCATTTCTTCTCCTCTTTTAGGTTAATGAGAAAGTAGTACTAAATGCACTAGATAGTTCAGTTTGTAATATTATCAGCTACATCGATGCTCTCTCTAAGATTTATTTATTTATTATTTGTATTTGTATGTATGCATATGAGATTGAGTTTATATGCACCACATGCATGCTGGTGCCTATCTATGTAGGCCAGAGGACATCAGATCCCCTGGCACTGGAGTTACAGGCAGTGGAGCCACCTGATGTGGCTACTTATGTGATATTTATGGTGGGAATTAAACCCAGATCCTCTGTGAGATCAGTAAGTGTTTTTAACTACTGAACAATCTCTCCAGCCTCAATATTTAGAAAAAGGAGTAACTCCAAGCAGTTTTTCAGGATCCTGATATTGATTATGTACATTATATACATATATATACATATGTGAACATATACACATACATATGCATACACATGTATATATGGAGAGAGAGAGACAGAAAAACAGAAATAGATACAAAGAGGAAGAGGCAAGGAGAAGGAAAGGGAAGAAGGCAGAAAATTCAAAGCCTTCAATCCTCAAAAAAGCAGAAGTGTCCTATAGAGTAGGCAGTCATACCTAAAAGAAACCACATCATGAATGTCAGTGAAATGCTTACATCACTGGAATTCATATACCAACTAAAGGCATCATTGGCCTGAAGATAAAATCAATTACGGCATGATTGTTCCTCGATATCATATGAGAGGAACTGAGATCACATTTGTAGCTGGCCTACAGTTGGGATTTTGTTGATGTTGTTGTTTAATATATTTTCATACAAAACATTTTTATCATATTCTTTCCCCTCCTCACTGAATTCCTCCTATATCCTTCCAATCTATTTACCCACTCAACCTCCAACTTCATGTTTCATACATACATATATATATATATGTGTATATATATATATATATATATATATATATATATATATATATATATATATATATAAAACAAAACAAAACAAAATCAAAACAGGCTTCTGTTCTTCATGGGATATTTGTTGCAAAGTCACTGGGAGACTACGTCCTCGAAACAGCCCAGCCAAGGTAATGATGGATCACCTTGCAAGGATCCTGCACTGAGCTATTTTCAAGTGATGACAAAGTGTAAAATTAACTGCTTATTTGAGAACTTCCTTTTTCATCCAAAGTTTTTTAAATACAAATACAGCTAAAAATGTGACCTTTTATTATTGGAGCTCTACTAAAAGTAAAATTGAATTTTAATTCCTAAATCTCAATATGTATACGGTACTGTGAGAATATCACAGATTTTGGCTCCATGCCCCAAAGAGAAATTAATTAGCTATAGAATTACTTGGATCACAAACAAACCTTTTCTTAAAAGACATGTTTCATTTTCAGAGTGTTTTCTTTTTTTCTCTAAAACTAAAGAAAAGTTCTTTTAAATTTCAGTTTTTCTTGATCGTGAAAATGCCACCAAAATTCTAATCCGTCCAAAAAGATATAATTCAGGGAAACTGGAAGAGTTTGTTCGAGGAAACCTTGAGAGAGAATGTATAGAAGAAAGGTGTAGTTTTGAAGAAGCACGAGAAGTTTTTGAAAACACTGAAAAAACTGTGAGTATACCACATCATACCAAAGCAATGTGTCCCAGAGCAAAAGATGGAAACTTTATTTTTTTTTACATTTTTTTAAATTGTATTTTATTTTTTATTTTATAATACTATTCAGTTCTACATAATAGCCATAGATTTCCTTGTTCTCTCCCTTCCTGCCCCCCTCCCCTTCCCCCCAGCCTACCCCCCATTCCCACCTCCTCCAGATCAAGGTCTCCCCGGAGGACTGGGATCAACCTGATAGACTCAGTCCAGGCAGGTCCAGTCCCCTCCTCCCAGATTGAGCCAAGCATCCCTGCATAAGTCCCAGGTTTCAAACAGCTA